TTGGGGGGGGGGGGGTATGTTTTGGTAAGAAGAGTTTTACGGCACTTGCGACACAATTAGGTCATATAAGTGCAGAAACAGAAAAATGTAAAGGTAGTCACTCTCAAGTTTTTACTTTGGTCCATGGCTTTAAAGTAGGTACTCAAAGGCGTCACAGCTGTGGAAAAGCATCACATGATTCACAGAATCACCCTCCTCGAATGTTTAATTCATTGCCTGAATCACCTATTGGCTTTCACATTTATGTGTACTTCCTATTCGCTGTACTTCTATGCTCAAACTGTAATGTGCATATCATCATGGATTGTACTGTGATAGTATGAATATCTGCCTATATGTCAGCGTCACTAGAAAGAGGCTGTGTATGCACATTCACACCTTCGTGTTTTGTGTTAAGATGAAGGTATACTGTTACAAAACACCTAGAGCTGTATTGTACCGTAGTGGGCGCTATAGAATTTATTTGCATTATTATTATTGTTGTTATTTTCATTATTATAATTATCTATATATATTATATTTGTGAAAGTTTCTCACTTTGGTCGCCTTATACCTCCGAACCACTGAACTTTCAAGTTTGAAAAAATTAACGGTGGTTCAGAATCATTTAAAGGGTGCACTGTTGTATTAAGGAGTTTGAAGTCACTGTAGTTTAATTTTCAGTTTTTCATTAGTTTCGTTTAGATCTAATCTTGGGAAAGTCCGTCTTCTAAGACGCCATTGTAAACCAGTGAGGCTTCCGTTCACAAGCAGTGCGCACTGATCCCACAATGACTTGATGAGGGATTTTTTGGAGTCCGTTGATCGAACGGGGTACCCTGCTAGTTATATATATTGTTGTTATTATTATTATTTTGTTACAGCTCTCACCCATGTTAATTATAATGATATTAATACTACTGCTTTAAAACTTTTTAATAGGATGATTCTTCTATGTCCATAATTTTTCATCCCCTGATGTCACTAGCTGTTTGCATATCCTCACCGTTGTGAGGGAAATTTGTATTGGGGCTAGCTCCAACTGTTTTTACTCTCCCTGTAAAGTATACAGCGGTAGTCAAATTGAGGGACTCGTTTTGTTTGTGATGCCGATGGTATATAGTTTTCCAGGCTTGTAAATTCCATTTCTAAACAATATACAAGAAATAAGACATTTGATAAGAAAATTGTAATACCATCTTTTTTTGTCTTTGTTTCAGGGGAAACAATTCCTGCAGCTTTGAGCATGTGTTTGTTGGTGAAGGCAGAGGGGATGACATGATCGGCCTGCACAATTGGATACAGTTCTATCTCCAGGAAAAAGCTGGAAACATTGACTACCATGGCTTTTTCAGAAGAGAAACTGTAAGTTTTCCATGAAAAACCCAGTGGAAACATATTTTATTTCAATTCAGATTTGGATGTAAATCTGTGAGTAGTGAGACCTCTCTTCTGCAATATAGAAATACATAAAACCAAATGATCATTTTTTTCTGCTTTGACTTTCTCTCTCTTTACTATCCTTTTATTGACACTTTTTGTTTAAAGTCGATTAGCAAGGCATAGATTATCTGAAAGATGAACAGGTAAATGTGGAAAACCAGAAGTGTATATATTCAAATGAACTAAATAATGTTTTACAGGTGTCTCCTGCTATCTGAATGAAAACATCATTGACAATTGTCTGTGACAAAATGTGTGTCATGACAAATTGACAGTTTTCTCCAGACATTCTACCATACCTGAGATACTGATTTTGTAAGCTTTATATAATAACAAAGTAATCCTTTCAAAGAGGATGTAAAATGTTTCTATTTTTATTCCTCTTCTTTGATTTTTCCTTATCTAAAGTCCTTTTTCCTCTCCTTTTTTTGTATGTTTGTCATACTCTTGTGACCTGCTATTTCCGGGGTGCCTTGATAGTCGAAGCAGACTTTGTGCTGTTGAAGCAAGAGAGGTGAGCAGAGTAAATCTGATTCCCTGTAAGGACTTCTCTGTTGACATCCACCCCTTGGCGCTCATATGACCTTATGCAGTTGTAAGGGCCGTAAAACCCTCTACTATAAATTTTTAGAAATACAGTCCTTTCTGAATGTGTACGATGTGTTCTTGGTCTGCTGAAGTCTTGTCATGAGGGAATGGAAGGAATATGCTGGAATGAGCTTATGAAATGTTTTCTTTTGTACAGGTACGAGATGATGAAATCCTGCGCCTTATGGCTGTGCAGTTCACATGGAAGGGCATTATGGGAAAGCCTATGTGCAGCGTCTTCGTGGGCTCCAGTCCAGAATTTGAGATTGCAGCTTACACCATCAGCTTGCTTCTGGATCGTGACGGCAAGATGGATGTTCAGCTGGGTGAATATGAGGTGGAGCTGGTCGTTCACAGCTTTGGCTGGAAGAAGAAGCTTGGCACAGCGTACCTAGCGGCTGCACGTATGGACCAGTACGCTAAAAAGAAAGGATGGTAGAGACAGAATGACAGTGAAACAAAGAGTGCCCCCCCCCCCCCACAACCCTCTATCCTCCTCCCCCTCATGCTACATACAAACCATCCATCAGACGTTGATAGGAAATAATGCTTATCACAGACGTTTGGAAGGGTTGATACGAGATAATGCTTATCACAGACGTATGGAAGGGATGATACGAAATAATGCTTATCACAGACGTTTGGAAGGGATGATACGAAATAATGCTTATCACAGACGTTTGGAAGGGATGATACGAAATAATGCTTATCACAGACGTTTGGAAGGGATGATATGAAATAATGCTTATTACAGATGTATGGAAGGGATGATACGAAATAATGCTTATCACAGACGTTTGGAAGGGATGATATGAAATAATGCTTATCACAGATGTATGGAAGGGTTGATATGAATTAATGCTTATCACAGAGAGGGGGGTGGGGGAGGGATTTTTAGTTTGCCACTTTGAAAAGACTTACTCCTGAGTGTTATAGAAATTGCCATTTTAAGTTGGACAAAAGCACTTTTTGTATCAGTCTGATATACTTACTTCTCACCATGTTTTTTGAGTTTCTGGGATTCTCTATGGATTTCAGTGAAATTTATTTTGTCCTCAGTATATTTTGTACCTGTTGTCTATATAGTAACCGGTGGTGATTCCAATGTTAAGAGGGAGACCCCTTCTGGTTGCAGTTTGTTAACTTTTTAGTTTGTTGTTGTTTTGTTTTTTGTTATTGAAACCTGTACTACAATTTGTTACCTAGGGTTTTCTACACAGCAAAACGTTTTGTTCTGGTTGCTGTCATAATCTACTGCATGCCATTTCTATTTTTGTTATAAGTTATAAGAATACTGGTACTGTGTAGATGTGCAAAAGATGAGGACACACTGAAAGAATCTTCAGTAGTATGCTCTGAGATTCTTAGTAATGTGTAGAAAAAAAGATACTGGTATGCCAAAATTCAGATCAAATACATGAGAAACTAGTACCGTATGGAAATGTCATTTTGTAATTTTTATTATTTCTTTCTTGTAGTTATTACTCTCGCATTCTTCCAAAAAGTAACCATGAAAAGTAATTGTTGTATTTGCTGGAATTGCTACCGATAGCATCGCTGGCAAGTTGCAAGTTGCTCAGCTTATCAATTTCACATGGGTGATGGATGAGATTGAAATCCTTTTTGAGGTGATATCGTTTTCATTTGAGAGAATTGTTGATATCATAGAAACTATTCCTAGTGTTGACAAAGTGACTTGCTTCCTGTGTAACTCCAACAAGAGACATGTCTTTAGAGAGTGTAACATGACACTGTTATCTCGTTGAAGCTGTTACATTTCATTGACAACCTGGATAAAAACAGTTTTTAATGGCCCAATAATTCACAAATTATGAAGAATATTCTTTGTTACTTTTTGTCTGTAGTTCTCAAGAGCATGTTTTGTTTTAGTGGCTGTGGTTTCAATAGCGCTGACAATGCTCTTCAACCTAGCACTGAACAACAAGGCCTTTTATTGTTCCTTTTTCAGTTTCCTATTTTGACTTTGAGGTTTGTCTTCTTGTTATCACGCTGGTTGCCTGCGTTCCTTACGGGTTTTGTTCTGTTTGTTTTTCTCTTTGAAAAACTTTGAAAGTATTTGATTAATGCTCATTCATTTGTTGAACTGATTATTTGAGGCTGATCAAGCTAAGTGTTGCTTTGTTCTCCCAGCTTTTGCGCTGTGTTTCCTCAAGTAGTTCTTCTGTCTTTGGAGGAAGCTTTGGTTTTCACCCTTTGTACACAAGCTACACAGCAAAGAATAAGTGTGTAGATTGCAGCTATGAGCACAGTATTTCTTTCTTATTTCAACCGTAATAAGATGTCTTTTTTTTCTTTAAGATTTGCTACTGCAGATTATTTTTTGATATAGATTTTATTCATCTTAATATCAAACTCAACTTTTCTCCTGCTTTAATTAGGACCTTTGGCCTGCAGGAAATGGTTTGGGTTTGGGTTTTTTAATAGTTCATATTGTAACCAAATGCAAAAGGAGCTTTAATTCAAAACAAATTTATTATTGTTTAGAAAATGACCACCTTCCTTTATCTCACTTCTAAAACTCCTTTCAATGCATCTCGTTGAGTTGAGCAGGGAAAATTTCCTTCTGTTGATTTTTGCTGTTGTGGAACTGTTTTATATGAGTTTTTTGTTTTTGTAGATTCCCACAGACTCTGTTTCTGTCTCCCTGTTCCCCAGAACAGTGCTAGCGTCGTTGCCTTGTACTTTAGCGTAACTCACAAATTATCATGCTCTATCTTATGCAGTTCTTCTCACGTTCACCCAGTAATTAATTCTTGCTCGTTATCTAAGCACATTAAACATGTACATTGTGAGCAGTGACAAGTTCTAGGGTTATTTTGTCTCTGATTTGTGTTGGTATTTCTTGACATGGATGTCGTGATGGTGGTATTTCTTGACATGAATGTCGTCTCAAAAGTTTTCCCTCAGCTAGACTCTGGTTCTGTTCGCTGATGAACTTTGCCAATACAGAGAGGGTAATTACTTGGCCAATACAGAGAGGGTAATTACTTGGCCAATACGTACAGGTTAATTACTTGGCCCATACATAGAGAATGATAGAGAGGTTAATTGTTCAAATCCAAATGTAGAATTTTCGTGTCATTCTAGAAATGTTTTTGTCTCAGATGGGTGTTTTGATGGTGATTAACTATTGTGTCTTTGAACTAACATCCCAGAAATTGTTGTTGATAGATCATAGAGTGTTTTCCCAGTGGATAGGTGGTCCTGTCACTGAAGGTGCTATACTGACAGGGCTACCACTCATCTGTTATATTTGTGGAACAATAATGTGAAGAGTGCTTACAATGACCTTGGTTATGACCAGTGGTGCCTAGATGCTTCTGATGTATGTTATATAATTTTGCTAATGTTGCATTGTCCAGGCCATATAGACCAACATTATTATTAGGACTTGTTTAAACATTATTAGGTCTTTTCTTTTAACTGATCAAATGCACAGATGGACTGAATTTTTCAGACTTTTAGTCTTCAGCACCGTATCTTTGTGTTTCTTCATGTATGATCAGAAGCTTACTTATTGTTTTGGAACAAAACCGTTTTTAGTTTAGCATTTATTAGTTATGACAATACTCTAATTTTAGTGCCTCCTAGTCAGAGTTGTAGAGTGGCATTATTTATTTTTTCAGCTGCTGATTTGTCCTGTTTCCGATGAGAATTTGTAACAATTGTATATGTCGATCATGATCGGACATGAAACATGTGGTTCAGTTTCTCTGCAGAGGTTGCTTTATAATGGGGGGGAATGTTTTTCTTATTGAGCGAATTGACGAGTCTACTTGTTATGTAACCCAGCTGTATGTGAAGAAAACTTGCAATGCAATTTTACCTTTTGACATATGTGCTCTCAAACCCTGGATTGTTTTATTACCACTAGTGGGACCTATATGGCTACAGGTTGGTTCACAGAACACTGGCTTGAAATTGAAAGAACTATTTGTAATTCAACTCGTAGATTTTCTATATTTTGTGACAACTACTAGGGATGCAGACTATTAGTAAAAATCTAGAGGTTTATAAAAGGCAAACAAGTCATTTTGATCAGCTGTGTATAGTCACATGGACTTGTGTATTTCTGTTGTCGTCAAGACATGCTGTGATTCTGTTCCTTCACTTGCACAAATTCACTTTGATTTTTGTCTGAAAGTGACAATCTGTGTTATCAGGAGACTTGTTCTGTGGTTGAGAGTCCTATTTTAGGGATATTTTCCACACTGCCTAGGGATAAAGCAAGGCTTAAAGACCATCAGTGATTTCCAGCTTTGAAGAGTGTTTCTTGTAGCACGCTTAGTAAAGCAAACTAAACAGAAACTGGTGGTAAGTTCTTTCAATTTGCAATGTTATGAGATGAACGGCTAATGAAGGCATAAGTTCTCGAAATAAAAGCTGTTGAGAACAAAATAAGATTTCTGCTGCCATACCAGTTTTTGCTTTATGAACAGGACTTTGGTGAAGAATATGAACAGGACTTTGGTGAAGAATATGAACAGGAATTTTGTGAAGAATATGAACAGGACTTTGGTGACGAATATGAACAGGACTTTGGTGAAGAATATGAACAGGACTTTGGTGAAGAATATGAACAGGACTTTTGTGAAGAATATGAACAGGACTTTGGTGAAGAATATGAACAGGACTTTTGTGAAGAATATGAACAGGACTTTGGTGACGAAAAGTTTGTCTGAGATAGGACAATGGTTGTACATGAACGTTTTATTGTGGCCCATTTATACCCTACTTTGTCATTTGTTTTGTTCTCAAACAGTTTAGCTGTTCGGGTCTCTGTGTGGTATGTGGGAATTGACAAACGGCTCTCTGCCACAACTTTCATCTCTCTATCTCGACAATACGCAACTTGTGTCATTCATCTCTCTATCTCGACAATACGCAACTTGTGTCATTCATCTCTCTATCTCGACAATACGCAACTTGTGTCATGATTTTGGTGAGCCATCAGCGGGGTGGGGGGGGTGGGGGGGGGTTGTTCTTTATATGGGAACTGTTGTCCTTGATGTCACACTGCAGCACAGCTCCATTGTTCTTGTATTTACACCTGGAAACTAGGGAAAGTAAAATGTGCAATGGCTTTGACTGATGTGCAGCTGTATCGGTACAGGGAGGGTTGTTGTAGTTGTTGTAGGGTGCTACCAATACAGATCTTACTTCCTTTCTTTCCATTTGTTGTTACAGGGAGGGTTGTTGTAGTTGTTGTAGGGTGCTACCAATACAGATCTTACTTCCTTTCTTCCCATTTGTTGTTTCTGTCTATCTTGCTTTTTTCCTAGTACTAAATAGCCGTTATCTTTTCTACATTATGTTTGTCTTAACTCAAGCCCACCATTATGAGCCGAAAAGTGGCTACACAAGTGGTGGTGCAAAAGATTGACAAGCTTTTGTTTTATTGTTACCTGAACTTCTACTGAATTCAATGCTCACTATTTATTCCATTCAAAGAGAGATACTAATCATCTTGCCGGTTAATGCTTGCCATTAGCTCATGTCGAAGTAACATGCAGGAAACCAGAATCCAGGTCTGTTTCTACACTTGCATATTTACCAATGGCTCAACGCCCTTTCTTGTGACAAGGAACATTAATTCAGAGGTCTTACTGTTACCTCTATAGGACATTAATTCAGAGGTCTTACTGTTACCTCTATAGGACATTAATTCAGAGGTCTTACTGTTACCTCTATAGGACATTAATTCAGAGGTCTTACTGTTACCTCTCTAGGAACAACAGGCATGTTTGTCAGGATGTGGAAACCTTAGTCTTGCCTTCTTGTGCGTGGCGTCTGTGGCCTAGTGGTTAGGCTGCTGGACTCGTAATCATGAGATTGCGGATCCTGAGGTTTGAGTGTCAGCTCGGTCTGACGTTGTGTCCTTGGGAAAGGCACCTTAAACGATTTTCTCGATTGGCGTGGTCCTTTCGGAGATGGATATTAAACTCGGAGGTCACGTCTCTTAAATAACCTACTAGTGTTATAGGGTCGTTAAACCTGTACCATTTCACCAATTCTGCTTGTGCGGATAAAGAGATAATATCTCATATTATGTCATTTTGGTGACTTGACTTTCTCTCTGTAGTTTGTAGATAGAAGGTGAAAATGGTTGTGTCAATTGCTGTTGGTTTGTTTCTGAAATTCTCTTTATGATTTGACAAATCATCAAAGGCCTTGAGATCATTGACAGTGTGAGCATGGTGCTGTGACTTTTTAGAATTCAGACTGTTTTATTACTGTACCGTATTTAAGCTATGTTGTAATTTTTGTTTTGTTCTTTTTTGTTGATATAAAAATGGAAAACTTACACTTGACAGTCAGGTATCTTGCCCCACCGTACACACTTGTCAGTCGTTCTACCAGTACACACTTGTCAGTCGTTCTACCAGTACACACTTGTCAGTCGTTCTACCAGTACACACTTGTCAGTCGTTCTACCGGTACACACTTGTCAGTCGTTCTACCAATAGAATCAATAAAAGATAGAAGGTATTTAGTCTCTAGATGTTCAAATGTTGTCTTTATTTAATCAAATGTTGTTTTTATTTGTGTTGTCATTTCTGCAGTCTGATGATCTCAGCAGTACGGATACCAGTCAGACCAATATCATTTCATGTCCACCCCTGTCTAGTACTCGTCCTCTCTGTCCTTCTTATGTCATTTGAAGGTCGTACTTCTTGACTTCCCCCTTGAAACTTCTGCCTGTCCTTTATCCAAGCATGAAACAGTGTTTGTAATGTTCATTGGACCCAATGTTCATATACTCCTCTCACATTTAGACTCATCCTCATCCCAAAACTCCTCTCACATTGAGACTCATCCTCCTCCCAAAACTCCTCTCACACTGAGACTCATCCTCCTCCCAAAACTCCTCTCACACTGAGACTCATCCTCCTCCCAAAACTCCTCTCACACTGAGACTCATCCTCCTCTCAAAACTTTCCTTCTGTCTCTTTCATTATCTGAATTATCTTTACCAAAAAAGAAAACAGACCTTACATTGTTTCAAAGTACCTTTGGCAGGCTTATCACTGCATTATCATTACATAAATTGGTGGGGGGGTTATGTCATGTTTTTTCTAATTTTTTAATGCATGAAAAGTTCTGCTCGAAATGATAATGTTATTAACGGTACGTCCAAAAGTCAAATGTCAAAATATGGTGATCATATAATATTTAACTAACTCAGCCCTTTAGAATTGCTGAGATTGGAGTCCAAAGTTATGTGGAAATTACCAGATGTCAGTAAACTCGATTTTCTGATGTTTGTCAAAACATCTCTACTGTAGGTTTAGATATTTGATATTGTGCTTTGTATAGGGTATCTTGTACTGATCTTATTGATTGTTACTGCATACATTTTTAAAAAAATTTTATTTTAACTGTTGATGTTTTCTCCATTTTGAAAGTACCGGTAAGTGACATGTTTTCTGACTATACTCCATCCAAGCTTCTTCTACTTTTTTATTCTGTTCCCCCTTCTGTGGTAATCCATAAATTCTCTTTACTCTTGAGAACAGTTTCTTATGTTAAGTTATTCATCTGGTTTTGTTTTTGTTTTGTTTGGGGGGGGGGAGGGGGGGGTTGGTTCTATTCCAATTCAAACCTCTTCATTCACCCTTGAAAAAACCTTTCTTGTTTGTTTTGAAGCGCTGAATTACTTTTTGCAGATTTGAACTGCCCTCTGTTTCCCTTTGCTTTGTTGTGTCCCTTTGTATGACGGAAATTCCTCAAGGTGTGAGGAGGGGGTTGTTTTTCTTTCTCATACAAAAGTGCTTCATTCACCCTTTGAAAAACCATTCGCAATATTTACAATCACTTTTTTAGTTTTAACTGATCATAACTGCATCCTGATCCATTGTTCATAACTGCATCATGATCCATTGTTCATAACTGCATCATGATCCATTGTTCATAACTGCATCATGATCCATTGTTAGCTCTTTAGAATGCGACTTTTTTGTGCGCACTAGACCCTGTAATTCAGCTGATGTTGATAAATCTTTATGCCATATTTGTGTTTGTCCTGAGTCTTTAAATTTCTGTTTGCTCTGGTACCGGTTTGCTTGTTATTGTATAGTCTTAAGTTGCTTAGAGAAGACGGTTGATATTTTTGTTGGTTTGTATTGCCATTTGTTGCTATTGGAACAGAATTGCTGTGAAGCCTGGTCAGAAGATGTGTTTCTAGTGGCTGCTGTTTTTGTCTTCAGTTCCTAATCATCTTGTCCCCTTTTTATAATTTACAGCATGCCCTTTGCTTTGGTGCAATTATATTATACGTCACGTAATCATATTATACACGCTGCATATGCTTAGCAGTAGATCTGATTTGTTGTTCTTGTTTGTTCTTCTTCAATAAACAATTTCAAGAAAAAACAAGTTCTTTCATCTTTTTCAACGGATTCTTTTCCTTCCTCTTTTTTTTCCTTTTTTTCCTTCCTTGTGGCTTCATGGTTGTCTTGTGTTGCTGACCCTGACTAGTGACTTTGGATTCAATCCTATCACATTCCGTGGGTGGTTTGGCGGGTGCTCTGGTGTGGTTTGCTTCTTCTTTCCTATCAAACATCTATCGTCCTTATCTCCCCTCCTTCTTTTTTATGTTTGTTACTCTCTTGTAACACTTCTAATCTTCTGGCGCTCATATGACTTTGTGCAGTTGCGAGCGCCGTAAAACCTCTACTAAAACAAACAAACAAGACAATATCACATTCTGTTTTGCAACCCACTTTGAAATGTTTACATGTCAGAGACCAGAAATGTACTGCAGCTATCAACTATCACTATCAGCACATGTGTACAGTGGACTCTGCTTGTGTTCAACTCTCTTGTGTACCGTGGACTCCGCTTGTGTTCAACTCTCTTGTGTACCGTGGACTCCGCTTGTGTTCAACTCTCTTGTGTACCGTGGACTTCTCTGCAGGTCCCGATGGTTCAGTTGAACTTTGACGGAGTTCATCTTTTTTTTGTACGGGGTTTTGTTGTCGTTGTCGTTGTTTTGTTTTGCTTTTTGTTTTTGTTTTTTGTAAATGTTTTACGGCACTCGCAACTACATAAGGTCATATCAGCCCGCAGAACACATCAAACATTTTCAGTTGGTAGAAAATTTTGAAATTTTCCCTGGTGGCGACCGAAGCCTACTCTTATATAATTTTGGACCATAGGGATTTTTAACGTGCGCAACTTGCACACGGGACCTTTGAGGATTTTTCGCCCTTATCCGAGAAGACTAGGTGGTAAATCTTACATACCAGAAGATCAGGGGTGTGATTGAAAGACGGCAGTTAAAGGGATCCAAGGAGTAGCAGTAGAAAGGCTGCAGAAAGAGTCAAGAGCCCAGCGAGGAGGGGGCAAAGGAGGTGAGGGGGTGGGGGCAGAAAGTGGAGGCGAAAGCAGACAACAGTTTTTGTTAAAAAGAAGGAAAGGAGGTGAAAGGATCACATTTTAAAAGAAAATGTGTCATTGCTATCAAGATTCGAATCCCGGATCTATTGAAGGTGAAAGAGAGGCGGACACCGTAACCTCTCGTCCACGTTCGGGGTATCTGTTGGAACGTGCGTGGAAGAGAGGATGAGTGAGGGGAGAGTGTGTGTTATATTATAAATGAGTGTGCACTTGTGTGTGTTTGTTTGTGTGTGTGCATGAACGTGCGTGGAAGAGAGGATGAGTGAGGGGAGAGTGTGTGTTATATTATAAATGAGTGTGCACTTGTGTGTGTTTGTTTGTGTGTGTGCATGAACGTGCGTGGAAGAGAGGATGAGTGAGGGGGGAGTGTGTGTAATATTATGGGTGTGCACTTGTGCGTGTTTGTTTGTGTGTGTGCATGTTTGTGCGTGTGTGTGTGTGTGTGCATGTTTGTGCGTGTGTGTGTGTGTGTACTTGGTGAAACACCAAACCAATGTGCCAGGATCTGGACAATTAAGAAGTACCCTATGATTGCCGTCGAACAATAACTATTTGAGTTACGAGACCGCCTGCGGTGTATAGTAGGTGTAAGTATAATGAATGGTGAACATATTGTACAGCCTCCCCCCCCCCCCCCACCCTCGAACCTCCCCAAATGTTTAAAAAAGAGGGGGGTTGACCGATATATATATATATATATATATATATATATATATATATATATATATCCTTTTTAAATGTTCTGGGCCTGGCACTGATCGGATTTTTTCCCAAGAGGACGAACTTAACGTGTCGTTTTTCTGAGTCAGATTATACATGTAGTATAATTAGAAACTTAACCTTGCTGAAGAAACCAGTTGCTACATAAAGTAACATATCGTCATTGTTGATGGAACCTGTTAGCGGAATGATATCTTTTTCTTACACTCCCAGGATTACTTTCATTTGTTGATTTGAGGCGAGGTTTTTTTTATGTTTGTATCTTTTTTTTTAAAGGGGGGTGGGTATTGTTTGTTTTAACCCTATCCGTACGCACGGGGGTCATTTTGTACCTCCGGGATTGTATTCTTCACATTTTAGAATACTTCTTGTGCGAAGTTCTCTTTGAAACTTTCAGTATTTCTCAAAAAATCATTTTGACAGACTGCTGTGAAAAGCGTACGGATCGGATTAACGAGTAAATTTCCTCTTTGGAAAATGGTGGCACAGAGTTCCCCACGTCGTATGGATACGAAAGTAAAACACGACGTACGGATAGGGTTAATTTAGCCTTGTATGCTTGTGAAATGAGAAAGCTTGAACATGTAGGCCTATTTGGTTGACCGTAGAGCCATGTCAAGTAATACATGTATGCCACCAAGAAATGGGGGGCTTTCGTGGTCTACAGGTTACAGTGTTCGCTTCTCATTAAAGAAATTCAGTGCCTCGACAGCTAACTCTACTACATTTACAGGAAACTTGTCAGTTTTCAATTGTGTCGTCTGTTCTTTACATAGTCTTCTTGTACACCAGGAGAGTTCTCCCCAAGTAGTCTATTACTATGTTCATTCACTAGTGGGGGAAACCCCCCCCCCCTCCCCCGCCTGCGCTCAGGTTTCAGTGAAAGAAAACAGCCTGCCAAGCGTAGACTGACACCCCCACCACTTTCCCTTTCCCAACAATGTTGCGCCTTTGCAGTAAAGAAATTAAAGAGAAGGGGGTGGACTGAAGCTGCCAGGGTTAAGAAAAGAGTGAGAGCACGGTCTGAGATTTATTACCTTGTGATTGGTATCTCAACTTCCCTGTAGTTTACGGGGGTCCATCCTTCAGTGAAAGTGGTATCAGATGGCACATTGCTTGAGGTATCTGGTACCTAATGCTGAGAAGTTTGACCTATAGAGTTTATAATTATAAGTGCTCTTCTCTCACACACACGCGCGCGCACACACACACACACACACACACACACACACACACACACAAACA